CTACATGACGCGTTAAATTTTTTGCTCCATCAAACATTTTTATTGAAATTGACATAGCTTCGCTGCCTTTTGGTGAATCTTTACTTTCCAACAAATCTAAAGTGACAAACAAATGCTAGCAAAGATTTTCTGTAGCTTATCTAAGCCCGTCGTCAGACAAAGAGTTTACATGTTACGTTTCTCAGATACATCAGTAAATATTTCTGTTAACGGAAAGTGTATTGCAAGATTCATTTCAATTGATGCTCCAATAGGTAAATCTTAGCAGACATGTACTTATTTTAGACATCATTGTATCGAACTCAGTTGATGCAAGCAACATATGCCCATGTTGTGCACATTGTTCGAGCAAGCCATTTGTTGAAGAGCTATCGGCAACGGTCGGCAATCGTTGTTTTGTTTGTTTACAGACAAATGTCAAATGATCAAACAGATGAATAATTTTGTGTAATGATTTAAGCATTTTGCCGAGATTGTGTGACTTTAATGATGCTGTAGGGAAACAATATTCTTTATAAAGAATGACGAAAAAAATCAGCTTCTTACTTGTTGCTCCAACTAAAACACAATTAAGCGCACATGGTGATTCTGTGTCACCTAAATAATTTGTCCAATGTGCATTTTGAAGCAAATATGATATGACTGGCAGCATCGAAAAGTAACATGCTATCGGCTGATGTCCAAGACCTAATTGATAATTTTGTAATATCCGTAACATGAATGGGTGAGTACATTGTTCGATCTTAATTATTATTTCTGCGGCATCTTATCAGCATGAAATTCTGCATCAGAATATGTACCTTCTGTTGAAAAACAAAAACTGCTCGAATTTTGCATTGTGTGCACCTTACTTTGATTTCAAGTAAAATTAAGTTTTTCATAAAAGCTCGAGAAAAAACTGCTGTTACAGACACTTTTCAAAATTTTGTCCTGCGAGACTTCAAGATGGTCTCCATACGACGCAAATTATTTAAAAAAATTTTCAAATACGCAGAAAAATAGAGCAAGAGTAGCTCTACATTTTGCTAATAAAAAGCAAAATTTGAAGAAGGTACATATTCTGATGCAGAATTTCATGCTGATCACGAATATGACCTTAAAGAACAAATTTTTTTTTTCTTTTCTTACAAAACCCTTTTCAAGAAACTTTTTTTGAGAAAAGAAAAAAAATTTGTTCTTTGTTACTTTATCAAGTGTAACAAAGTAACACACAAGTGTTACTTTCTTACGAGTAACAAGTAACGCAGTTGTTAGTGGTTACTAGGAAAAAAGTAACAAACTTACATGTGTTGTTACTAAAAAAGCAATGGAAAGAGCTTAGAGAAGAATATTTGAAACATCAAATAAATGAAAAAGAACCAATGTTAACATTAGGACGTTTTTTACAAAAAATGAATGAATATGATAAAGCTGAACATTATTATCGTTTGTTGATGACACAACCTAAGATAGACTATTATTTGGTTTCATTGTTATTCATGAACATTGGCACGTTATTTGATAAAAAACGTAAGTGCAAGACTGCCATGAAAAATTATAAACAAGCATTAGCTGTCTATACAGAAAATCCTAATCCAATAGTACGCCTGTTATCTCGAATCTACAGCAATATGGCAACAACATACATGAAAATACATGAATAAACAGGCATTGAAACTACAAGTGAAGGCCATTAGAATTGTAGAAAAAATCAATGACAAGGATTATGAAGATTTAGCAACTTTTTATTCTAATTTAGGCGCTATTCAAATGACACTAAATGATTTACCATCGTCGTTAGAAAATTATGAAAAAGCCATAAGTTTTGCTTCTGAACATTTACCAAAAGTTCATCTGTTATTAATCGGCATTTATAATAATTTTGCTAGTGCACTAAGTATGATCGAAGATCGTGTAAAAGCACTAGAATATTTTCAAACTACATTTGATATACAAGCACAATTTTATTGTTCTTCGACTGAACATTTAGATTTACCTGTAACATTAAATAATATCGGCCTCATGTATTATAAAATTAAACAATATCAAAACGCTTTAGAATATTTCGGTAACACTACTCTTGAGGATTTTTAAACCGAGAAATCGCCATAAGGGCGTTGACCATGGCACATATCGCGATATCGTCATTGTTTATCGCGATAAATTCTACATCGCGATCTATCAGACGGTTCCGGTAGATCGCGATGCAAGTTATTGCTGCGTTATCTCTACGATTTATCGCGATGCAAAACAATGTTTCGTTCGACCGCGATAGATATTTATCGATCAACATCGCGATACTGATTCGTATCGCATTAAATTATAGAAATATCCGAACAGAAGAGGTACTTAGATAAATCTTAATGCCTTTTTATCGGGATGTATAGCGCTATGCATAAATTTCGCGATATTCTACTGGTTATCACGATATAGATGAATACGGCGATAAGGTGCACTGATTTTTTTTACAGTGTTTTAACGCAATCTCAAGTCTATCGCGATATGAACACGAATTAACGTGATACTTTTAAAAAATATTAAAATACAGACATGAAACACCTTAACTAAATTAAAATAAAGCAGGAAAACGGTAAAAAACGTAATTATTCTAATTATTTTTTAAGGATTCATTTTTTATTCATTGTTATTTTTTAAGTTTAAGTGTCACTTCGTACACGCACCACGGTTTATTTTTATTTTCTATTTCGACTGAAGAATGATGAATCATTGTCAAAAAATGTTTAACCGAAAGCTTTTTCGAAGTATAGGTCTTTCCTTTTTTTAACAAGAAACAAGTCCACTAATAAACTCTCTTTTATTTTGTTGCATTAGATTCAATCACCAACACTTTTGAGTTACAATTATTAGTATGTCCCTTTTGGACCCAATGTTGAGCAATTCTCGAAAAGCGTTGTCGAACAATGGCTTTCTTATGTTCACTCTCTAGTGTACAGATTCCTCAACTAGTCTGATCAATATACCTTCCATCACAATCATAACAGTCATATCCATAGACTTCTCTTTTTGAATCTTTATTTTCTATCTAATACTTACTTATCACATTACCTATCAACAAAGTCAAAGGAATCCTTCAAATACGTATCAGCCTCTGACATTACTGGTAATAATAAGTTAGCCAAATATTTAGCCATGTTGTGATTATAGGCACTATAACTAGAAATAATGGAACGAACAGGAAGATTACATTTATGCATCTCAGGCAGGAAGTAAGCGTCTGGTGTACCTGATTATAATCACAACACGGCTAAATAGTGTCCACGTGGGTCCGATTTTCTGCTTAATGCTTTTCGCTGTTTGGAAGGTTTGTCTCTGAGAACTCCGTGTATTTCAATGAAGTAATGTCTCTTTTCCCCCCACACAACTTACACGAATGTCTCTTTTCCCCCCACTGCATAAAAAGAAGACAAACACAATCTCGAGTGCAGTTGGTTGTGTCTTAGTTAGCTTAATGAGTTTAAACGATAATGAGCTCAAATCGTACGGTAGAGAGAGGAAGATCTGGGCTACAAAATGAGGTATTTATTAACTAATTACCTCTAGAGCTTACTTAGCAGTCAATTATTAATTAAAACTCCATATATTTGAATGGAGTCGAGGGAGAAAGAGACCCTTTCATGGAGCTGTTTGCATTTCGGATCTGGATAGAAATATCGTTCTTGATTTAGAATAAATCTATTGATATATATATACATTAATAGATTTCCTATTTATCTTCAAACAACTCACATAAAAAAGTATGTTTTCAAGTTAATGAAAAACAAAATGTCTCAAGAGCTAAAATGAGCTGAAATACAGGAATTCACAGAGTTCTTCAACGAGTCTGAAAATTCGAAAAACACATTTTTTTTAGAATGTACTTTTGAAAAATATTAAAATACAGACACGAGACACGTTAACTACATCAAAATACAGTAGAAAAACGGTAAAAAACGCAATTATTCGAATCATTTTTTAAGGATTCATTTTTTATTCATTGTTATTTTTTAAGTTTAAGTGTCTCTTGTACACGCACCAAGGTTTATTTTTCTTTTCTATTTCGACTGAAGAATGATGAATCATTGTCAAAACATCTTTAACTGAAAGCTTTTTGGAGAGTATACGCCTTTCCTTTTTTTAACACAAAACAAGTCCCTTACAGTCATAACCACAGACCACTCTTTTTGAATCTTTCTTTTTGTATCTAAAATGTTCAGCTGAATGTATGTTACAAACAGTTATTAGATCTGAAGGCAAAAATCCCCTGTTTCTACGGGTGTTTGAGAATAGTCCGGAGTTTGTTAATTAAAGTCAATGTACATATTCCATGGTAGGAATAAAGACTTTTTTGACGTGTTTGTTAATAGTCAGATTTTTTTGTGTTAATTTACCTTATTTTTACACCTCTAATCACCTTACTTATCACATTACTTATCAAGAAATTCAAAAGAACCTTTCCAGTATTAATCACTCACCTCAGGTAGGAAGTAAGCGTCTGGTGTACCTGACTATAAGCACAACATGGCTAAATATTTGGTTAACTTACTATTATCAGCAATGTCAGAGGCTGGGTCATATTTGAAAGATTGAAAGATTTCTTTCTGATACATTTATAATTCTGACGATGTCAGTTGATAGCCCACACCTTTTTCTATCAAATAAAACAAACCCGACATTTTTCTGATCTTCTGACGAGAAACTGGACTTGATGCATCGAAAAACTCTAATTTTCGTAAAACTGGCTTTTCGGTAGATTCTTAAAACTTTTTCTAAAAATATATATTTCCACGAAACTCAGCATGGTCGATTACCCATGGTCCATCAGCTTTTAAGGCTACCAATAGTCACCGAGTGCCAGTCCTTGGACTTGTAGAAATTCGATACAACGCCCGAACCGTGGAAAATCAAGGTCTCACTTTACTCCCATTTTGAAGAGGCGTAGTTACATACAGACGACGTAGTTTTCCAAAGATCTCCTAGGAAATCTATTTCAAAAAACTCGTCTGGAAATGATATTGGTTATGGAAACATGCATCCAAGGCTCCTCTTTCGAATGGCGAAAACCGCAGGTCTTCATCACCCTCACCCTCGAACCATTTTTTGGTCGGTCTAAATGCTATTTATGTAGTTCATTAATATGTTTCGAAACCTCTACACTAGAAATTTGGCTTTATTCGCACGTGTTATGTTAAAGTTACAGAAGAAACAAAAAAAAACCGGTTACAGGATATTTCTTCGTATTTTCTAGTTTTCTCTCTTATGAAGCAATCTTTGTCTTTGCTATTTATAAAGGATCATCGTGTGAGTAGACAACACTTATGGTAAAAAAAGAAACTTTCTATCAAGTCCGGTTGAGGCGTAGCATAGTAGGTGGTTACAGGACAAATCTTCAGTCAAACCTCATATAACTTCAGTAAAGTGGGAATTACTTAGTAGTAGAAAGTGATGGAAACGTCGGATTTTTGCTGTTGTCTATTCTATATATTTGGTCAACTTTTGGCATATAAAGAATGCAAATTGAATAACTTACTAGAGCTATCCAAGGCCATGTGGTTACGGAGCAGAAAAAAAAATTTTCGGGACCACAAATTCTGAAAAAATTTGTGAAAAAACAGAACAATCGGTAACAAAGGTAATGATGTAACTGAGCAGAGGGAAGAAAATTCTATAAGAAAGAGAGAAAAAAAAATTTCTCCACAGAGAATAACACAGAAAATAACATTTACAAAACCAAACATATTTGAATCATTAGAAAGATAACATCAAAATAACGGTAAAATATCGATGTTCTGCTTATAATTCGTTCACGGTTAAACATAGAAAAGTCGTACTTGCAGCGATTATAAGCCTAACGTTGTTGAATATATGTGAGAAGTCCGAAAGCGATTCATCAAGGCTAAGGAAAGAAACGCTTGGGACCATTTACTTCATTCGAACGGTACTATTTTTATCAGAATCACTCATATAGGAGAAATTAACGCGTCCGAACGCGCTTAATTTGAATGCGTTCGAACGTGTTACTCATTCGAACACCCCAAAACGCGTTTATTTCCACAGGATTTCGACGCGTCAGTTTTTGATGCGGCCAGACGCGTTTGATTCTAACGTATTTAAACGCATTCATCACCGATTAACGCGCCAAACGCGTTTAGCAGTGCGTTTGGTCTCAAAAATGTCTGCCTGGATAGGTTTATATATTCATTATCTCCAGTTAGATGCATATAACTAGTAGACAACGGTAATTCTAAACGAATTAATTTTGATGAGACGAATGACGATGAAAATGGTAACCTTACCTTTTCTATCAATGGTGCTGACAAAAGATTTTCATCTTAAATTTTTAATATTTTAATATTTGCAAATCCTTCGAGTGTGTTAAATATATCAAACATTTTTGAAGCATTATTAAATATTAAATTCAATTCATTAATTTTATCATAAAATGCTCTTTTTTTCATTCATTTTTATTAGTAAACGTATTTTGAATTGGTTAAATGAATATGGAATTAAATATAAATGAATAACACTATTATCATTATTGCCATTACTACAACCTAAATTTGTATTTGAAGAGAATGGTAGAAAATTATTTAGTGTTAACTGATTTCTACATTGAAAATAAAAATAAAATCTAAATGACTTTAAATAATGGTAAACTTATCTGAATAAAATTTTGCCAGAAATATTGAGGATAAACTAATGTTAATCAATATTGAAACTATACAAATGAAGAGTAGCATTACCCTGAAACGCAATATCTCAGTTCGATTTTCTCTACTAATCCTATGATGACTACAACTCCACATTTTTCTCGTACCAAAACTGAAAAAAAACAGATTGGTATATTATATAAAACTTACTTATATCGTCTAATACGCTGAAATAAAACCGAAACTCAAAAATGAGTCTGTACTAGTAATTCTTATTCATGTTCAACAACAATAGAAGATGATGTTGTAATTGGTCGTAGTGGTATTGATGATAATGGCACTTATTATCCAATACACTATCCAAACTTACTGGAGTATGTTTTAAATTGTATGAGATGGTGATTAGTATGAACCTAAAATACGATTGTTATGATATATTTATTGACAACTTATGAACAGTGTATAAAGAATACGAAAAGAACAAACTTTCTCTTCTAAGATCAGACCACATTTTATTTCCATAAGAAACGAGAGAATATATGCATTCCAAATTGAGACCACTTTTAAATCTAATCAATAAGCATAAAAAAAAGTGGTCTCAATCATGAAGGAGCCAATAGTTGCAAAGCAAGATACCGCAAATTAAGTAAAATTTACACTCATTCGCCACCTAGTGATTTGATATGAATTGTGAGGTAGTGCTGCCTTGGTGATATGCACTAGATGTTTCTTGTATTGTTGAGCTGGTTGCAGTTTGTATGCCTAAAGTCTGAGTCGATGCAGATTGCTGTTCACCGATAGTGGTAGCTATTATAGAAGTTGCAGTAGTTGATGAATGCGAGATAACTGATGTAGTTATTCCCGGATAAATTACCAACGTTGTTGTTGTTGCTAATAGCGGTCATTCAGTTTCATCTATTCGATCGCAATAAATAATATTACGATCAACTGTTTCAACACATAAGTTAAAACCTCGATATTTCGTTGATGAATTGACGAATTTATAACATCTTTAAATCGTAGGTTAACCGTATTTGAACATGTTTCATAAATAAATTGTGTGGGTAAATTACTGTACATCCTTTTTGATCGGTGTCATTCGTAATTTCGACGAAAGCATCTTCTAAATTATCACTCGACGCATCTTGATCGAAGCAGCTATGGGAGAAAAAGCGCATCAGCTGGATATTCTAGAGCAAATTACGTAATATACACATACCGTTGACGAAAGTAAATTGAATGTTACAATATATGTATTAAAGGAGCGATCATTAGAATTTTCGAATAAACGTGGCGCATTTAGCTCAACTTTACAATCATTTATTGAAGGAGTATACGTTGGATAGTAGTACATTATTCTGAAATCTCGTTAAAAACTGAACAATTTTACCTACAACATTTTCTTGTACTACTGCTCAATCTGGAGAAAAATGCGAAAGTCTCGAAAAGTCCAAAAAATACGTGATTTTAAACGTGCCATTTGGTTCACAAATGTGAGATACAAATGTCTAGTTTCGAATCTAGGAAACACTCGTACTCGTTAACAGCATAGTGTCATACAGATATTATTAAGCTACATTTAAGCATTTTAAAACAATTGCTGCGTCATATAGCATCGATGCGGGTGCATCACTAGATGAATGGAATTGAATTTTATCGACGTTGCTCCAATTTAACTCGATCAACTGAAACAGTCTTAATTGCAATGTAACCGTTTTCTTGTATATTTCGGATCCATTACAGAAACCAGTTATGGTCAATTGCAGGTTGTTATTTCTACCTGCACTAACTTCAAATGAGTATATGTCAAATGCTCGATTATCAGAACTTATTGTCATTTCATTCTTATCTTTATTAGTAGCAATGTGATGAGTAACAGCAGATTCACTATCATTGCCAAATAAATACCCCGTTGCATAGTCCATATCCATCCAAAAAACGTTTTTCCAGTTCAAACCGTGATATCCGTTTGGTATAAGTACATCAGTTTCATTATCAGTTTCACCTGGTGGCCTATCAAAAGTGATTGTCTTTCTTTTCTTATCTAAAATGTAGAAAATTCAACAGTGCTTACTTTAGAGAGATCGGAAGAACGGAGATTCCACATCTCAGTACGTTTCTGGAGACCAACGGCGAAATTTACCAAAAAAAGACGTGGAGAGGAGTAGAAGGCTAATTTTTATGTAAAATCTATGTCATTCGTGCTTACGTATTTGTAGTTGCTTTAGAGATATCGGAAGAACGGAGAAATGAGCACAGATATAACTGTTCTCTATTCACTCACACTGTAAGAATGTATCGTTTCCATATTTTCTGAGTTTATGCGTAATGATTTTTGACAATAAGCGATTATAATTGCAGCTGGTTTGAAATTTTAATCATATTTACTGTTTTGTGTTAACTGGGCTATAAACGGCCATTTTCAAACAAGTATCTAACGACAATACCAAAGAGAAAACCATGTTAGACTTTTTATCTCTTACGTTCTTACATGACGAAAATAACGGAGCATTCTATTTATAAAATAAGACGTCATATTTTATACAAAAGACGTTTAAGGTCAAAATATCACAAACGAACAAATATGATTAAAAATTTTAAAACACTGTAACTAATACTTATAACCGCTTGTTGTATCATTTCCGTTATTTAGTTTCATCTTGCGGTATAGAAGAGGGCTGTGCAGTTGGCTGATTTGCCAGAAAACGAAGACTCTTACAGCGAAAATTTTTTTATTTTAAACTGGTTTTAACTCTTTCAAAATCAATGCAACCACTCAATTTCGTCGATATGAATTTTTGATTGTTACTCTACTAATGTTTATTACGGCTAAAAGTTGAAAGCTGTACAAAACTTCGAAGAGGTTTTCAAAGATCTTGAGTTTAGAGGAGAAACGGAAGTCTATTTACGAAACTGCTTCTAGATTCGGTACATTTCTCTTTTCTCTTCATAACGCCTAATAGTTTATTGTACTACGAGAAAGTCTAAGAAGAAATTCTTATAATACTCTTGTTCTAAGAATAAAAACACAAGATATAATGACCACGAATGCTGAAAAATTCAAAAGAGATTTAAGATGGTCTACATGTAGAATGAGCATACCAGAACATTTTAACAAAAGAATTTCGTTCCAGTCGGATTTCCGATATACCTTAGAATGGCTTGCTTAGTTTTATCCCCAAACTATCAGTATAATGTAAATTTAGCATAGAACAAAACTGACTTTGTTGTTTGGGAGTTTTCTTAAGAAACTGCATTGAACCATACCTCGTGTTGAGTTGAGTTTTGGTTGATTCATTGAGTAGGTATTTATGTTTGAAGACGCCTCTATACAGGCAGTGGCTCTTGACTGAGGCAAAACTGAAAAACAGAACAGTGACATGTCTAAATTTTACATGAGCTACTTCTGCTTCTTCGAGACCTGCTTTTAGAAGGTATCTTGTATTGGTTTCTTTATTTATTATTATGTTCTCTGCAAGAAAAGAAACAGTAACTCTCGTTGGTGAAAGAGAACCAACTGCCAAGTGCAGAGCAATGCACAGTTTGTTTTTTTGTTATATTTAGATGAAAGTAAGGTGTCGGCAATGGAAAATCTGAGCAAAACTTTCTTCCAGTTTTTCTGACATAGTTGAGTAGAGCTCTTCAAGTTCCATAGGAAACCATTAATTTTAGTCGCTACAGTATTGTTACTTCGTGTACATAGTAATGTTGTGATGTGGTCATAATGTTCGACTTGTTGCCTTGTAGGTAGAGTTCTTGTTTCAGAGAGCAGATGATCCAAAATGGAGTGATACTGCAACAGCCAGAGGTGAAGCCACAAACCCAAAAAGAGAGAAAGTGTACTCTCAAGTGATCATATTTTCTCTCTTTTGGATTCTCTAGGCAAGGCTGAGTATAAAAAGCTGAATTTAAGATATTTAAAATCTAAACTGACGTCGGGAGCCCCTGGACACGAGTAGCATGATTCTAGATTCCATCGTCTACCTTTGGGGGATCAACGGCTAAATTTACCGAAAAGGACGTGAAGGGGACTGGAAGTCTAATTTTGATGCAAAATGTCATGCGTGCTGATTCCGAATATCTGATTAACACGTTAACTGCCAGAGTAAAAAAAAAAACAAATCCAAATGTATCACCGGTGATGCATTGGCACTTAACGTGTTAAGTTCGCATGCAAATTGATTTTTGATGGTGCAAAAGGCAAAATATCAGTGCATTTCTTGTTTCGAGACATTGATTTCAGAAAAAATCGTTCTTTTTCCAGTAGTAAAGCCATACACAAAAGGAGTCTGGATGCACTTTTGTCGGTATAGTACAATAGTTGAGAAAAGAATTTTTATCTGACAACGCATAGGACGAGATCGCTTCAGAAGATAGACGTTGAAATGTGCAAGCATACTACGCGTGTTCATCGGATCCTGAGTTCAACTTAGATTTTCAAAATTTTAAATTCAGCTTTTTGTACTCAGCTCTGCCTAGAGGAACAGAAAAATACAGTGCTGAAATTTTAAAGAAATAGTAAAGCTGAGAATGAACTGATTTTTGATTTATTTTTTCACAGGAAAATCATTTTATAACGACTAAAATTAATGTTTTCCTATGCAACTCGATGAGCTCTACACAACAACGTCAAGTGAACTGGGAGAAGATTTTGCTCAAATTCTGCATTGTCGGCATCTTATATGTTGCAAAAGCACACAATAATTTACCAGGTTTTCTTTCAGTTGAATATAGTTTGACATTAATCATTGTGATCGACGATGATGGATCTATGTCGATAATACCTTCACTTGATGACGAATTCAAGTCACTTTTGAATTTGTACAATTGTTGCATCCACCTATCTAAATCTGTTTCAACAAAATCATCTTCTTGCCTTCCATGTTGTAATTGTGTTGTTATTAAACGGAATTGTTTCAGTATTTCTTCTTTATTTCTATTCACTAATCTATCAACTTGTTGTCGAGCTTTCTGAGCTGTCATTCGTATTTTTTCTATGGACTCCTGTTCCCATTGTTGAATCTGTCTCAGCGATGGATGATCAGGCGGCCTTGCCGATGTTTCTGTCGTTAGCTGTTGTTTCAATAAATCATGCTCGTATATGACATTATCCAACTCTTTTGATAGTTCTTGGCGATGTTCGTTTGAATGTTTTCGACAAAACATCATTTGACACCCCGAACATGCAAATATACCACTTGTTTTTCCACTACTGCATTTGACACATGGCTGTTTTGTTGATGTTGCCATAATTTCGAGAATGAAAGCAAAATGTTTGCGAAATGACAAACAGAGTACGACAGGTGAGGTAACACGTGTGTCTTCTTATCAAATATGAAAGCAAGAGAAATGTCCGATGCAAACAGTAAGAAGGAACGAAAAAGAAACTGAAAGAAATTTCTCTTGCTGTTCTTGGGTGAAAAATATCAAATTTTGTGGTATATGTTTAACTTCTGTTTGAAAGTCGAATAATTTTGAAACACCAGAAAAGGGTCATGTTCACGTTTTCTTGTTATGAAGATATGACAAAAGACGATATTGCACTTGGTATTTATATATATATATATATTGAAGACACTGGCACAGGACTTCGTAAAACCACAACTTTAAATCACTGTTCGTCTTGCAGTATAATTAGAATATTAATTACAGTTACCCATGGATCATTTTCATTTCTGATGTGAACGGTATGTTCTCTTTCAAAGAAGCTTGATTGGCTCTAGAATAGGCATTCGTAGCTAACGATTCTCAAAGTGCTACTTTGAGTAAACGAATTAGCTCAGTCCAGATACAGCCGCGCATAGAGGAAGATGAGTACCAGATATCGTGAAATGAAGTGATTAAGTGTTAATTGTGCTACGCAGTGTTCTTTTATATTTAATTTGGAAAAGTCTGAATAGTAAGTTTAGTAAGGCTTTAATCAGGTGACGATGTACAAACGTCGTTCTAAAAAATTGTCTGTATTGACAAGGACAAGTACGGAAAACGTTTTCCTTTCAACTTTAAAAATAAAGACTTTTCAAACTAGATATAAAAAAAGAAATGCTAGCCGCAATCAACACTTAATCATTTCATTTGAAAATTTCACGATATATCGTAGCAATCTTTCTCTGTGCGCTGCTGTATCTGGACCAAGGGGGAAAAATCTCACTTCTAGTGTGTGCACTTATGACTGAAGTATCACCTTAAGTGACGGCGTGACACTCTAAGTGATGAAGTGTATGGTACAAGACGCATCATATCTATCTACTTGTGCATAAAACGTACATATGTAGATTTACCCATTATTCTACCGTATTTTCCGCGACAGAGTGGGTGCTATTGTGGAGAGAGGCTCTAGGCGATGTCACCTGCAATAATCTGAATAAAATTTAAGCAAGTTTCTTTCGCAGTCCGTATCCCTGAACGTGCATGAATTCTTAGTCAATATGCGGATGGAAAACATAACATAGACAAAAAAGTAACTTACAATAATAAAAATTCTAGCAGAAAGAGACGAATAGTACTTATACACAGTGGACAAGGTGAAAAACCGTAAGTGAACTTTTTAATTGTTTGAATAGCGGAGAATATTCTTGGGGAAAAGACAAATCTTTTTTGATAAATATAGTTCGTTTTCTAAGACTTTTCTCTCCTACGAAAAATGCATTCTTTCTTTGCTAAGTATTTTCCCAATAGGCGTTCTTAGTAAAGTGACCGCGCCATCCTTAACCATCACTTGTCTTCTCTGAAACTTTTCAGGTTTGTTCTTCTACATATGGAGCATCTTTACTGTATGTACAAAGATGCGCAAAATCTCCAGAGAGGAGATATGACTTTTACAAACACCTTCGATTTCTTGAGGTTTTCGTCTCTTTTTTCGACGAGAAAATATTTTTTTGAAAACAAACACTATAAATTCGGACTCGTCGCAAAAAGCCGCGTCGAATGGTGTATAATTCAGCCATGGTTGTACGGAAAATTTTGAATTTAGTTGATTCCTTTGTTTCTTGCATGTGTGTATAGGGATTTTTCACTGAAATTATAAAATTTGAAATTATCAATAGATGAAATCGTCTAAACACTATTGCAATAGGTTATCGATGATTCTCTATTCAATGCAATTGTTTTCGTGTTTTCTAAAGGTTTTCTAAGTGGTTTTCTAGAGACTGAATCTCTGAAAAACCACTTAGAAAACCTTTTAGAATTCGAAAAGCATTCGATTAGATAGAGCACACAAGATAACCTATAAAAAACGCGTATTTAAGTTTTCCTCTAGCTTGCAGGCCAAAAGTCCACGTGCCTAGTGAAAATTGCCTACTGTATAAGCTTATACAAGGTATTCCAAAACTACTGGTCGGTTTTTGTTTTGAATATATCTCAGCCCAGAAATATGATAAAGCCTGAATATCTTTTAAAAGATGCGTCATCTAATTCTCTACAAAAAACATACTGAACACTTTTCCGCATCCATTAAAAATAAAAGTATATGGTAAAAAGTATGTTAGATTCAGGGATACAACGAGATTTGAAAATAATAATTTCTTTCTAAGATCATAAAAGTGAAAAATCCGCTTTCCACCTCCTGTGATAATAAAGAATTTAAAATAGTGTCATTCATAGATTTCTGAGTGCTACAAAATGGCTATCTTCTCTTGTTTTATATTGCTAAATAATAAGGACTAAAATTTATAAAACTGTTTTTTGGATTAGGACGTAATTGAGATTGAAGCTTCGCACTATTTATCATAATATTCCATTATTTTTAAGGCATTCAGAAAAGTGTTTAGTATATCTTTCGTAGAGTACTTTAACTAGGAGATCATATACTGCATTTTATTCTTCTTATAGAGTTATGTTCTTTTTCTGCAGCCTCCCAAAGTTTTCGAACGAAGCACATTTCTCTATTTTGTCTATAGTATTAAATAACAGTTAGCTCAAAACTAGGTATGCACCGGTATCGGTATACCGAATACCGAAAATACCGACTTTTTTTGACTTTGAATTTTTTGGATTTTTTCATTTGAAATGAGGTATTTTAGCATCCTGAACAAGCAGAACGTATAAAAGACACTCAACTGTGTATTCTGAGCATGTGAAGATAGAAAAAAAAGAAAAACTTTGGCTTTAGAAAGCAAACAAAGCTCTTGTTTTCTGTCCCTGAGTCATTGGGTGTCCAGGACGCTAAAACGTACACAACTAAAGATGGTCATTTATATCACGGATCAACGTCGACTGGGATAGATGAACAATCGAAAGAAGTAATAAATGAATTATTCAAAATGAAAGTTAAGCCGAAACGAATATTAGAATTATTAGAGGAAAAGAATTTGCCTGTCCCTAAAAAACATCAATTATCCAGTTATCTGGTATCCTTACGAGTTAAGTTGTATGGTAATTCAAGTATGAGCTTAGGTGAATTGGAAGCTTGGTGCGAACAAAAATCCGTCATACCTGACGATGAGGATGAACCATGGGTATTGAGAGATAAGATTATATATGGAGATGAAATTAATGATGACGTGCAGGATGGTGATTATGAAAACAAATTCAGATTATTTGTCACAACTAAAAGATTACTATTCAATGCAACTATTTCACATGTAATTCATGCCAACGCAACTTATAAGTTGATTTGGGAGGGCTTTCCTTGTCTTATTATTGGAACTACTGATATGATCAAACAATTTCATCCGTATGGATTTGCAGTGTGCTCTAATGAGGCAGAGAAAGATTTTGAATTCATATTTATGTCTATTCGTGATGGTTTACAAGATTTAAACATGAACATGAACGAATAAAATTTAGTACTAGTTGCCGATGGTGCTGAAGCTATTAGAAATGCGTTTTCAAGTGTATTTGGAGAAGACCATAACATGGTCATGTGCTGGTCTCACATGCGGAAACGAGTACAAAAGAAGTTACATTTAACGGAAGATAAAAATTTGCACAATGAAATTATGGATGATATTGATACCGTACAACTCTCAAACAGTCAAAAAACATTTGAAGTTGCTACAAAACTATTCCTGAAAAAATGGAAGAGTGAAGAAAAAGTTCTTCAATATTTTTCAAGTGAATGGCTCGAATCAAAAAATGGTTGGTATGAAGGTCTACAGATGTATGTGTCAAGTACCAATAACGCTCTAGAAGCCACCAATCGTGTTATAAAAGATGAAGATACAATAAGAGGACGATTAGTTTTATCAAGATTCACAGTTGTTGTATTTTCAATCGTCATGAAGTGGTCAAAAGAACGTAATCCTATTCGTGTCAATTCAAAAAAATTCGAACATCAACCTTCAATTACATTATCACACTGGACTGATGGATATAATTGAGTCAAGCTAAATAAAGAAGTTATATCTATTTCAAATCGTGATAAAACAATATATTATCTGCCTGCTGATCAAGAAACTACAATAACAGATAAAGAAGTAAAACGCTACGAGAATTGCAGGTTTAATTCATTTGACACATACAAGTCTGTTTATTTTAAAATATGGCGCGTGTGTTTGTCGAACGATGTCGAAGAGTGGAGAAAAGGAACTTGCCCATCATTCCTCAAAAACTATATTTGCAAGCACATCATAGGTTTGTCTATCAGACTAAAATATTGTAAACCGCCACCAGAGGCAAAAAACGTGGATATTGCATCAAAAAGAAAAAGAGGTAGACCATGTAAAGCAAAGAAAGCATTACTGGTACAATGATGTAATTAATTGTTCATTTTTCTTTTTTTATTTCCAATTGTGGATATAAATGTTGTACTTTTTCTTTTTTCTACTGCTCACATCGGAAATTATTATTGACATTTACTCAATAAATTATTGTCCATTTAATAATATAAAACTGCTCGAATCAAATTTTTTTATTGTTCAAGAATTACTACTAAATAGTACTATAATTATTGCTCATATCGATATAATTATTGCTCGAATAAATACTAGCCATGAGTTAATAATAACTGTTGATTTATTAAAACAAATATTTACAGATAGATATGTTTTTCTTCGCAATTATTGACAACTCAACTGCTATTATTGAACTTGTATCAGGAGAAGGTAAGTCATATTTTCTTCTTTGAGGAGAGAGTCCGATTCTTCGATTTCTTCTAGTCGCATCCATACTGATGTCAAAAACAGACGAGTTTCCAACTTTGTATAATAATAGATATGCAACCAAGATAGACAATTGTGAAGACATACATAGCTCCCAAAACATATCCCTCTGGGAACCGCGTTCTTCTCAATGCTGATGACACAGAAATTTGATTTTCGAAAATGATTTTCTTTCTTGTGGTTTTATATAGAGAGGTGAATTTGTTTAACTACATTCCTCGCCCTCTTTTTGTCTAAATTTCAATTTTCGAGTTAGATCTGACATGACATACAGCTTAGTGTTCTCTGTATAATGAGACGCCTCGCAACTCTCGGTGACGCTTCCTTTCCGACTTATGCCTTTTTAAAATCATTATATAGAGAACACTTAGCTGTATATCGTGTCAGATCTAACGCGAAATCGGAATTTTGACAAAAAGAGGACCAGGAATGCACTTAAACAAATTCACGCCTCTGTTTAAAGGCACAGAAAAGGAAAATCATTTTCAAAAATCAAATTTTTGTGTCATTAGCATTGAGAAGAACACGGTTCTCAGAGGGATATGTTTTGGGAGCCATCTTCACAATTGTCCGCCTAATATGCTTGGAACGTGTAACGAATTTTAAAGAAGCAAACTGAGCGAAGATTGAGTAGATAGGTATGCTTCTTTTGTGTATATACCCTAGCCATTTTCACTAGATTGAACCTCAAAATGATGGCATGGGTTTCTACCTTTCTTTTGGTTCGATTCTTCTGATTTTCGTTTTTTTTTCATTTGATAATAAGCTTATAGCAACTATTTGACCAAGAGTTTTTGCCTTGTGCTCCAGCTCATTTAAAATGGGATGAAGCGTTCATTGAATTGGCTTTATCAAATAATCTATGGTTTTATTGTCAATCTTTTTTTTCTTATTTTACAATAAAAACGATAATACAAAGTCGTTTTCGAACTCAAAAAGGTACTATGTGTCAAGATGTGAATTTGACATGCATAATTTAGTCAATGCGTGTGTTTTTCAATGTTTTGTAATTCGGACTATGGATGAAGTCCTTCAAACTGTACCATTTGACGATAATCTAGTTTTAACCTTCGACGCTGCAGCTGTAGATCATGGTATTGCACAAGTTGAGCATCGGATAATTGATCGACGCAACCGTGTGCTGTTATGAAGTCATCCATCTTCAATTCTAACAGTAGAATTTGTTCGGCCAATCGGTTTCTCTAAATAAAAATCAAAGAGTCGCTCTTGAGACATGTTTTTCTTAAATACAAAATTCTGTAGTCTTACTGGAGTGTTTATAGCCATATATGGTTACAGAAAATAGTGATGAAGTAAGATGTTGTGATTTTGAAGATTTAAACGTTGAAAGCTACTTGTTCGTGCTATATATGACGAAATAGATGAACTTTGTAAGAATGAATCTATTACATAGCAAAACAGGTCACTTTTCCTGGGGCTGGTTTACAAGAAAACGGAATGCATCAATCGATGGGGAATTTAACGAGGATCCCAGATATGCTACCCCTTTTCCTGGACAACTCTTAGTTTTTGAG